GATCAGACAGGGAGCAAACACTGATGGAATCTTTTAAGAGCACTTTGAGAGCAATCAGATTCCTGAGCATAAGAGATGGGCAGGAAAGGGAGGCAGGCTTGTGGCTGGCATTTTAAGAGGGCATGTAAGAACTTTTGTTTTGTTTAACTTTTTTTGATAACTAGAGTGGGGGCGACAGTGAGGAATAAGGGTTTTTCTTCAGCAGAGCTTCAGCCAGGAGGGAGGGTGTGAATACGTATGGCATTATTAGTTTTCATTCAGAAATGGACACTATACAATGAAGACTTGAGCATGAGAAACTTCACCTCCCAACCTCCCACCCCCGCCACCTGAGTAGACCTTCCATTAGAGCACCTGGAAATAGATCTATAGTTTTTCCTCTTCCATTAGTTTTAATATTTAAAGCAGCTCCTGGATTCAATTAGATCTTAAAAATGAATAATTTAGATGAGTTTACTATACATATCTATTGATTGATGGCAACACATTGACTTACTTTAACCCTTTTCACATCTTCTATTCACCAGGTAAATCTATTTTGTCTTCCTTCTAGAATTTGTTTCTTTTAAAAAATGTGACTCATTTCTAACAAGAGCTTGGCTATAATAATATGCCATTGAACCTCAAGGGTAGTTAGAAGAAACCCCAGGTCTGCTGCATCTCTTCTTAGGTCTTTTAGGGTTATACAGCAGGTTCTTGTGTGTTCAAAATGGCATCCACATACCCAGGAGAGAGGAAGCGGGGGTTGGGGTGAAGAGGAAGAGGTGAGAAGCAAAAGTTAAATTAACCCGTGTGGTCAAAAGACCATCAAAGGTCTTGGCAAATCCAAACCTGTAGGTAATTATTTTAAGCGAACCATAGCAAAAAAGTATTAACACTGGCAGCAGTCGTTAAAATGGGCTGTGGTACAGAAATCAAAGGTGGCTGGCTAGTGTGCAGTTTCCCCATCTTCCAAATCAGATATTCACTTAGGTGGAATCGACTGTATCTTTTTACACAACATAGAGAAAAAAAACACGTGAAACAGTGAGGTGTGTAGATGTATTACCAACATAGAATGACTACCAACAATACAACACGCAGAGAGAGAAACAAGTATTAGGAAAATGGTTTAATATTGGAGACAGAAGCAAAAAACTGCATCACACAATAACATACGTTACAAAAATAAGTCTGACTGTTTCAACTACACGGTTATGTTCACAATGAGGACAGAAGAATCAGAAAAAACTTTGATCTAAACAGCAAAAAAGCAAACCCCTAAAGTTTTAACTAATACATTTATCCACTTAAAGTGACTGAGTACTTCTAAATCTAATTACCTTATTGTGTAACTGCACAATACAGAATAAAAAGTGAAACTTACCGCTGTATTTTAAGACAAAATTCTAATGCTAGATATAAGCAAAGGGAAAAAAAGAAATCAAGCCAAAGTTTTTAATTCTCAAAAGAAAAGGAACTTTCTTTCTGTCAACCAGAAATCAAACTTGAAATCAGTCATTGTCAAGGGGCCCACTAGAGTAAGCCACAAAAATTTCCTTTTTTTTTAATCTCCAGTATAAAAAGTTCCACTGGTACAAAATGCATAAGTACAATCAGTTGTAGAAATAGGAAAGCCTGCGTTTTTTTTGTTTTTTTTTTGTTTGTTTGTTTTTTGGCTCAAATTCCATCAAACAACAAAATCCAAATGCATCAATAAAACAAACAATACTCAAATGGTCTTACAGTTTCCACTAGATTGCATTAACTTTGGCTTTTCTCAGACAATATTTAAAAACTATTTGTAATTCTAAACAAAATGGTATTATTAATCTACAAACAACAATTCTCACAGCACAAAAAAACACAAATACATTTTTTGTATGACATTATTCAAAAAGGTAATGAAACTACAGGTTTTTTTAAAATTTTATTTCTTCTTGTTAATTAGCACTTAAAGATAATAAAAACAAACAGTAAAATGATTCCAGAGTAGCAGAAGACAAAGAACTATAACCCCTATGGTGAAAGAAAGATGAACTTGTTTCGCCTTTTAAAGACTGCCATTTGATCACAATTCTCTCATTTAGGTTAAAGATGACTATTCACTATATTGGATTAGGAAAAAAAAACCAAAGAAAACAAAAGCGGTTTCCCTGCGTGTTTCTCTTCTGGCATAGGCTCTTTGCACCCTTGCAGCTTATTCCTTTTAATATTAAAAGATAAGAAAGCAAATAAAAGGACAACTTCTCTCTGAGGAGAAGTATCTTTTTGACAGTGAACATGCAAAAACGGAATAGGCTTTCCAACCCTAAATGCATGGTCTCGCTTGCTTGTAGACCCAAAAGCACCCACCCTAAGCCTCTTACTAACTGCACACAGTTTCCTCTGGGGTGATGCAGGTGGGTAAGAGGAAAAGAGGGCAGTAGGTGGACAGTTTGCTTTAGTGAAGAAATTGGGAAATTGTTTTCCGAGACCTACATAATTGACAAATGAAGAGATTCTGAATGAAAGGCTAAGA